GGGTGAGTGGGTCCGTGCTTGCACGGGAATTTTTTGGCCCGGGTTCGAGACTTGCCTTCTTCTCAAAAAATTTCTGCGTGTTAATAATGAAAACCGGTGTTGTTTCAACGCTGCGTGTTTATAATAAATTCACATGTTATTTACACGCAGCGTGTCTGCAATTCGAGTTTTATTATTTACACGCAGGAAAAGTTTTGCTGCGTGCAAATAATATTTTGGCTTTTATTTAAACGCTGCGTGTCTCCAAGACACCAAAAAATTATTGGCACGCAGGCTTGTAAAAAGTCTTCCGACCGGCGACTGAGTCCGGCATAGCGGCTTGGTGGATGAGTGGGTCCGTCCATGTACGGGAATTTTTTGGCCCGGGTTCGAGACTTCGTCTTTTTCTCAAAAAAATTCTGCGTGTCAATAATGAAAACCGGTGTTGTTTCAACGCTGCGTGTTTATAATAAATTCACATGTAATTTACACGCAGCGTGTCTGCAAGACCCAGTTTTATTATTTACACGCAGAAATTTTTTGAGAAAAAGACGAAGTCTCGAACCCGGGCCAAAAAATTCCCGTACAAGCACGGACCCACTCATCCACCAAGCCGCCATGCCGGACTCAGTCGCCGGTCGGAAGACTTTTTACAATCCTGCGTGCCAATAATTTTATGGTGTCTTGGAGACACGCAGCGTTTAAATAAAAGCCAAAATATTATTTGCACGCAGCAAAACTTTTCCTGCGTGTAAATAATAAAACTCGAATTGCAGACACGCTGCGTGTAAATAACTTGTGAATTTATTATAAACACGCAGCGTTGAAACAACACCGGTTTTCATTATTGACACGCAGAAATTTTTTGAGAAGAAGGCAAGTCTCGAACCCGGGCCAAAAAATTCCCCTGCAAGCACGGACCCACTCACCCACCAAGCTGCCATGCCGGACTCAGTCGCCGGTCGGAAGACTTTTTACAATCCTGCGTGCCAATAATTTTTTGGTGCCTTGGAGACACGCAGCGTTTAAATAAAAGCCAAAATATTATTTGCACGCAGGAACATTTTGTCCCACATGGCCACCGTCGGTGGACGTCTGAGGGGAAAAATCCTGCGTGTCAATAATTTTTTTTCTGTTATGTGCACGCTGCGTGTACATAAAGTCCAATTTTATTATTTAAACGCTGCGTGTATATAATATTAGTCTTCCGGAAGCAGTCGGTCCATTCAAACAATGCGGTGCGATTGTCTTTGTCTTTCTTCCCAATCTGCGGCGCTGCCTGCCCGCCTCTGCCTCCCCGCTGCCCTTCCGACACGTGGGCGGGAAATTTCTCCCGACGAAGAAGAAAGTGCGTGTGTAAACCTTGATCTGGTTCTGGCACCGGACGGCCCGAGCGCGATGTTTCGATGCCCCGACCGGTCCTGCCGATGCGCCGAGCGCGGTGCAGCCCGCGCAGCCCGCAGCCCCAGGCAGTGCCGGACGGCCGACGAAACCCCGCACCCGTTTGATGATGTCGTTTGGTCGCTATTTTTGACGTTGTGGTACAGTGCCGCAAACTGGCCGCAAAATTAGCGTCAACATTGCCTGGTGGGGAGGCCTTAATTTTGCAGTGTCGAACCTTTTGGAATGACGGCGACTCGCGGTGGCTCGCAGAGCGCCTCTCCGTTGGCAGTCGACGAGGGCCGCCTTCGTCGCTCCATCTCTCTCGCACTCGTGGGGCGTCCCGTATAGGTGCGAGAGAGACAGAGCGACGTAGTCTGCCCCTCGGAGTCAGTCGACAGGGTGTTGCGGGCGGGGCCGCGCGGCCCACTGGCCAGGCCGGCCGAGGCCCAGTAGGCCCTGGTCCAGGTCGCCTCGCCTCCTATCCGAGCCGTTGGCGGCGTTAGTCGGCACCCCGGTGGGCCGTGTTGAACGTCGCCGTAAACTAACGGGTGGAGCGGCGCGGCCTTCCGTTGGCGAAGGTGAGGTGGCCACTCTAGCGGAGGGCTGCTGTCCATTAATTGGCTGTTTATGACGCGTCCGCCTCCCGCCGAGGCGAAGTGCGGTGCTAGGGTGGCCAACTCACCGCCCTGGAGCCAGCCAGGTGACGCGAGGTTTTGGCAGTGCCGCGACGCCGTGCCAGTGACGTCACCGCGGGGGCGTGCGCGGCGTGCGCGTCACGAGGCGCGACGCGAATGCCGATGCGACACCCGGCGGCCTGGCTGCCTTGCCCCGCCTTGCCCCGCCTTGCCCCGGATGCGTGTGCCACAGTGTGGTGGTGCAAGCGAGGCGCGTTCGCTAATAGGGGCGCCACTCGGCGGCGCGGCGCCCTGTAGTGGTTCCCCCCGCCCGCGCGCCCCCGCGCCACGCTCCGAGGGACAAGAGGCGCGGCGCTTCCGCGAGTCGGCAACCCTACAGCGTCACCGCGGGGAAGTCCATATTCAGGGGGAAAAGGAGGGAGTCGAAAGGGGAAGTCGCATTGGAACACCGAAGGACAAAGTTGGGCATACGCAGTGACTCCCAGCCATTGGCGCCAACCCTAGCTCCCACTGGTCCGCCACGACGCAATGCTAATTGTTTGTCCTCCGAGCTGCACTACACGACACGGATCATGCAAATGGCGCGGGAAACCGGCCGGCGTGCCGAGCGGCGTGCCCGTCCCGACCGCCCCGTCCCGTCCCGACCCGGACCACGCTGAACTGGCGGACCTCCCGGACGCACTTTTCGATCCGGGAGCGCTGCCGCTGTGCTCGACGCATGCGTCGACGGCGGCCCCGCCGGTAATAATATTATTTTAAAGTGCGCACTGCACTGCAAGGCCTGCAAGCTGCAGGGGACACATGCCGTGTCGCATCGCGTCGCTCGGGGGGGTCGGCCCGGCCCGGCCCGGCGGCCTGCTACATGTCGAACCTGTTTCCATTCATTCTAGGAACTTTCTAAAACAGGGCGCGGGATGGCCCAGCCGATGGCCCGGCCCGGTCGGCCCGATCGCCAGCGCCGCTGCACCACCGTCACGCACGCCAGTTTTATTTCGGCTGCTGCATTTGGGCGTGCAGCCAATTTGCGGGCCGGTGCAGCGGGCTGGGTGCAGCAGTGCAGCGTGCGCGGCGCGCGCGGAAGGGTGTCCGGCCGCGGTTCGCGTCTTGCTCGCGCGCGCTCGCCCGTTCGCCGCGCCCGGATAACGCCCGCTACACTGCCAGTGAACCTGCATCGCCGCGGCCCCCGGGTTCAAACAACACATCTTTCTCAAAAATTATCATTTCTTGATGAAAGTCGGACAGATGGCTCAATTAATTAAAACCGCTGACGGGGTAATTAGGAAGCCGAAATAATTGCATGATTGGTCGCAAGGTGCTGAATGAAGAGCGTGATAGACGTGGGTAATTACTACGATGATCCGACGCGGAGCCACGCGGAGCACGGTTAGCTCGTGTTTTGCACTTTTGCAAGGCTCCACATGATACTGAAATGCATGCTAACGTTTGCATCTCAGCCGCAAAGCTCGCCATGCAACCGAGAGAACTGCAAGCCAATGCTTGCGTCGTGCCTTGCAGATCCGCACTCAATGCCTTGCGCTTTTCTCCGCTCGTGAAGGGCGCGCCATGCAAAGGTGCAAGGACCGCCTTGCCGGTCCCGCAAGGAATGGAGTGCGGTCTGCGCGGGTCTGCCTTGCAAAAGTGCAAGGCAGCCCTCACACTCGCACAAGAAAAATGCAAGGGGCACCTTGCGATCCGGGTTGCAACACTGCAAGGCAGCCCTTGCACTTTCATTGCAAGGCACGCTTCCCGATGCGCCTCTTCCTCCTCATATTCTTCTCCTCATGGAGCACGCCCCAAAGGGCTGATGCGCAACTGGGTGGGTGGAATCGAACCCCGGTCCTGTAGCTTCGTAGCGCGGACGCTTACCCCGAGACTACAGGACTTGTCGAGGTTCCGGCGGCGCCGTACTGCACATGGCCCGAGCGCGCCGGAGGGGACAGCTGCTGCGTGCGATGGTGGGGGTAGCCTTGCAATCAAGACGCAATGGTCTGCTTGCACTGTTGCAAGGCAAGCCCGAGGGCAAGCCGCAGGCCGAGGCATGCGGAATCGCAAAGCAGCCTTTGCATTACCGCAAGGGACGGCCTGCATCGTCGAAGTGGGGATGGACTTGCAATTCTGCAAGGCCTTCCATGCGACTGCGCAGGGCAAACCTTGCGTTTTGTACCGTTCTGCCTTGCAGAATCGCAAGGCGGGAGACAGTGCAATTAATGCCTTGCGTTTCTGCAAGTTATTACTTGCAATTGTAGGAAACGCATACACCACGCAAGGTGTTCCTTGCAAAAATGTCATTTGCAGATCAAAATGCAAGGCTTGCCTTGCATTTTGCCTTGCACTTGGCCGAATCGCAAAAGTCGGGACCACAGTGAGCCACGCGGAGCTACGCGGAGCTAGGCGGCACTGCTGGGGTTGATTCGATTGAATGAAGCTGCGGAAACAGAATGAATGGCCGGGGTCGCGCGGCGGGCGGGGCGGGGCGGCGGGCGGGGCGGGGCGGGGCGGGGCGGGGCGGGGCGGGGCGGGGCGGGGCGGGGCGGGCTCCCCTCCGCCTTTCCTTCTTTTCGTTTTGCCCGCGCACCGCGTCGCCTTTCGGTTTCAAAAAGTCCGCCGAGTGGTCGCGAGGCCTCCCCCCACCACCGGCCGCCACCGGCCGCGGAGCCGCGGGACGAGGGACTCCCTCGAGGGACGGGCGCGGCGGCGCGGCGGCGCGACGCTGAGGCGGGCAGGGCAGGGGCCTGGCGGGCCTCGCGGGGAGCGCCGCGTACTCGTACTGTGTTAGTAGGTCGCCGGCCCGGGCGGGGCGGGGCGGGGCGGGGCGGCCGTTGGCTTTCTCCTGCAGGGGGCATCGCGGGGACGGGACGGGCTCCTGGCCGGTGCGAGCGGCAAGCCAGCCAGCCGGCCAGGCGGGCGGGGGTACGGCCAGGCCAACGCCGTGGTGGGGGGTGGCGGCGTGTGGCTGGAGCTTCGCCGCTTCGCAGCGCAGCGCGGAGCCTTTCTTCAGTCAGTATCGTCGGACAGCGCCGGCCCGAGCGGACCGCAATCGTAGAGCGCGTGCGTGCGTGTGTGCGTGTGTTTGTGTGTGCCGCGCACGACCGAGTGCCCCGTCGCGAGTGTGTGGTGGTGCTTGTGTGTGTGACCAGGATTTTCTGAGTGCAATTTGTTTGTTCCCTTGGAATACTACCCGCCGACCTGCCGCCGGTAAGTCGCCAGGGTGTTTTGGATACTCCGCGAGTCCCGGTGTCAAGACAGGCGAGGGTCCTGGTGTTCTGCGGAGCCTCCAGCAGCCTCCAGCAGCGTCATCAGCCCCCGGCTGGAGCACAAGGATTTGTCGCGCTTCAGCGGGCAGCGGTCTCCCGCTGGACTTGCCCGCACGGCGTGGGTGCCTCTGGACTTTGCGGGTCCTTCCTGTCATCCGACGAGTCCTGCTGGACGTCCGAGGACCTGCTGCAGCAGGGAGAGGCGCTGTCACAGCGCGTGAGGGAACACATTCCTGCACACAGTCCTGCCGGCGGTCCGCCGCGAGGGTCCGCCGTGTGGGTCTGCATCTCCCGAGGGAAAGGGAGAGAGGAGGAGGAGAGTGGTCCGACAGAGAAAGGCGCTGGGCTCGCTCGGCGCCGTGCTGTGCCGGGCAGCCCACTTCGAGATGGGACGGATGATCTGCCCGTCCGTCCGCGGCGTCCGCGGCGTCCGCGCAGTGACACGGATACAGGTGTACGTCAGCGCAGTGGAGTGGCTGCACACAGCCTCATCTCGGAATGCAACAAGCCTGCCCCGGCGTGCGTGTGTGTGTGTGCGACCGAGTGTTTGGGCCGCACACGTACGCGTCCTGACAGGCGGTGACGGACCGGCGACAGGCGTGGACCACCGACTGAGATGTCACTCAAAGCCGGCGTTGCGGGCGATGCCACGGCGATGCCACGGCCATGCCTGCGCTCACATGGACGGTCTGCTCGCTCTGCTTTGCGGCGCCTGCACGGCCTGCACGGCCTGCACCGGCAGCGCGCTGGCTGCGCTGGAGGCGCTCCAGGCGGAGAGCGAGGGGAGAAAGCACCGGCAAGGCGTCCGCCGTGGTCTATTTCCTGCCGGGCCGGCCTTGAGATAAGGAATGAAATGGCTCACACGGCTGACCAAGTTTACTGCCGCCGGCAGCGCCGCCGCCTCCTGGCCGCCTCGCCCCCGCTTAGCCGCGCCCCGGGGTGGCTCCTCCACGGTTGCTGCGGGGCGCCGCACAGTGGGCCGGTCAAAGACCCCGACGCGTTTTGAGTTCCAGAGTCGCTAAATGGCCCTCAAACCGGACGTGTGACCCCACCAATGGATTGCTCTCCGGACGAGGAATCCATTGGTGGGGTCACACGTTCGGTTCGAGTCCTGTGAAGCGACTCTAGAGCTAACGCGTCTGGAGTTTTGGCCGCCGGCACCGGTCTTCCGGCCCACTGTGCGGCGGCGGCATCACGTCGAGGGACGCCCCTAGATTGCCTCAGAGTCCGCGGCCATGGCCAAGTGCGGACCGGACCGACTGCAGTTAGTTTGGTACTCGCCGGCCGTGACAGTGAGCCTGCGTCAGCAGTGCGTCAGCCTCGTCCATGGCGTCCATGGCGGCTGTCCGTCTCGCCAGCTCGTGTCGCAGCGCAGCCCCTCCCCTCCCTCTTCCTCCTGCCGCTCCTTGTTGATCTTCGTAGCGTTCGGTCAGAACATCCCAAAAAGTTGGCCCATAGACGACGGTACAGCTGCTCAACTCGAACAGAAATCAACCAAACTGCTGCTATCCTTCGGTGTCGCTATCGCTCTCTTACAGCCGAAAAAAATAATAACCAGCGTGGAGCTGTCGGTGTCTGGCGGGTGTCTGGTTGGCGGCAATTTGGTTACTACACTGTCACGCCGCCGAGCCTGGTGACACGTACAGTGCGACGCGACGCCGCAAGCCAAGAGTGCCATCATCGTCGCCAAGGTCAGGGCGCCGCGCCATGCGGCAAGGCGTCGCTTCCGCCCACTTTCCTCGATCGAGATGTTCGATGTTCGAGTTTTTCGATGTTCGATGTTCTAGATCGGCCGTGTGGCATCTCAGTTTGCTACACCACTTTCGGCCTCCGCTGGGCCACACAACCTCCACTGTGTCATTCGCATTATTTCTGTGGGTCGTCACCGTGTGACATCGATTCCACCTTCTGCAGGCCTTCAGCCTTTTGAGGAGCTTCTTCTTGGGTGTGGCGGGTCTGGTTCATTGACTCTCAGAATCGCGTCTCCGGCCAAAACGCTGTTGTTGTTGTGGTTCCAACCGGCGAATATTGTCAAGCACCGCACCTGCTGCCGGGCCGCCGGGCCTTTGGGCCTTCGGACTTTCCCTTTCGTGTCGCCAGGAAGTTCGCCGACCGCAAGGGCCGCATGGCCGCAGGGCCCAGGGCCCAGGGCCCCGGCCCGCTCATTCCGAGGGGGAGGTCCCGTCGGCCTGTCTCTCTCGCACCTTCGGCACGCCCCATGAGTGCGAGAGAGAGGCCTCCCGCAGGGCCGCAGGGCTCAGGACGCTAATCGCTGCACCACCGCGGGGGAGGCGGAGCCGGGCAGACCGAGCAGGCAGGCAGGCAGGCAGGCAGGGCTGGCATCCTAATAAACCCGCGCGGCCGCACGGCGCGGGCACGGCCACCGCAAGGAACAGTGTGTGCCGCGGCGGCCGCGGCGGCGCCAGCTTTCTCGGCTACTCATTTAAAAACGGAACATTAAGGAATTAGCAAGGTGTCCGGCGCAGTTCCGGCAGAAATGGTCACTCACTCCACTGGCATTCTCTTTCTCTGTCTGCCTGGCTGGCGTGCCATCGCAGCGCACAGTGGGCCAGAAGACCGGAGGAGGCGGCCAAAGACGCGTTTTGATCTCCAGTGTCGCTTAACAGGACTCGAACCGGACGTGTGACCCCACCAATGGATTCCTCGTTCGGAGAGCATTCCATTGGTGGGGTCACACGTTGGGTTCCAGGCTCATTCAGCGACTCTGGAGCTCAAAACGCGTCTTTGGCCGCCTCCACCGGTCTTCTGGCCCACTGTGCGGCGGCGTCGTCGGCCCAGCAGTGCAGCCGGCGAAGCGAGAAAGGGGCGGCGCACGCGCCAAACAGCCCAAACAGCCCGACGGCCGAAAGTGTAGCGGATTGAGTAATGCCGGACGATTCGGCCCAAAACTGTCTCGCGTAACGAGCGCGTCGCGGCCGGGGCGGGCGGGGCGGGGCGGGCCCGGGGGGGGGCGGGCGGGGGGCCGGGGCGGGGCGGGTGCCAAGGACGTCGCGCGCCGCATGGCTGGCGCCCTAATCGCCTGACGACGCGGAACACGCCGCCGTGCTTTACTCGATGCTTTTCCCTTTTTCTCGTGTTTGCTGCTTTTTCCCGCTTTTTTCTGCTGCGACCGCTGTTTCGCTGTTTGCACGCCTTGCATGAGGTTTGTTTTAAACGCTCAAGTTGAACAGCTGCTTGCTGTCGCTCGCACTCACACGCCTGTTCTTACGCACCGCCACACTGGAACGGGTTGCCTCTGAGCGCGGCTTGCTGCCATCTTTTCCGTTTTCTGGCTCTCGCCTCGAAGGGGCTAGCATCGGCATGGCCAACATTGGCTGCTCGAGGAGCGACCACCTCTGTCGCCGTGCGTGTTTTTCCTGCTGATTGCTGGGCGCCTGGCCCCGGCATGTCCCCGGGGTCGAGTGTGGCGGAGGGCAAGCGCGGCAAGCGCTTCGAGTCCCGCTGTGTCCCGCTAGTACACTGGCGCTAGTCCGTCTCTCTCCCCCAAAAGGGCCGGCAGGCCGCGGCAGGCCCGAAAGGCGGATGCCTGGCAGTCGTTCTTGAGTCATCCTCCTCGCCCCGGTGACTTCAGCCGCGCCGTCGGGCCGGACGCTGGCTCGGCCTGAGGCTCGGCCTGAGCGGAGACTTGAACGCGGGGCGGAACGGCTGATTAATATTTCCTGATGGGTCGGCCGCCGGGCGATAGACAAGGCCTGTTTCCACGCGGCCTTTGTTAACCGGGCGATCACATCAAGCCGCGCTTCCCGTCTCGCTCGCACTCGCAGGCTGCCGCGTGGGGGTGCGAGGGAGACGGCGTGCCGCCACGCGCCGCGGCGCCCACACTGTGGGCCGCAGCCATTGCAGCCATTGTCCATTGAGCGCTACCGATAGCGCACACGTGGGCCCAGCAGCACGAATATGGGTCACCCGATGGCCATCTCGAGAGACAGGTGCTACATTGTCCGAGGTCATCACCCGGGGGTCCCTCATCATCATGCCTCATGTGTTGGGAAGGGTGGCGTTGAAGACCCCTCTCTCTGTCTAGGCAGGCCGGTGCCGGCCCACAGTGGACCGGTGGAGGCAGCAAAAACTCTAGACGCGTTTTGAGCTCCAGAGTCGTCAAACAGGACTCGCACCGAACGTGTGACCCCACCAATGGATTCCCTCGTTCGAAGAGCAATCCATTGGTGGGGTCACACGTTCGATTCGAATCCCATTTAGCGATTCTGGAGCTCAAAACGCGTGTGGAATTTTTTCGCCTACCGGTCTTCTGGTCCACTGTGGGCCGGTCGCTGTTGGACACACGACCCTTCTTGCCTTCACTCTCTCACTCGCACTCGCGGCAGGCGCGTGTCCACATATTGACGGCAGCGCTAAAAGTTTCTCTTAAAATGACGGAAGGCTGGGCCCGGCACGCCATGGGATGGGAGCGGAGCGGACGCGGGGGGACGCCACTAGGTCAGCGAGAGAAAGACAGCCTGTGGTCGCGTGGAGACTCTTTACTCGGGTCATGAATGGCTGTCTTTACACTGTCGGAACACTTAAAGCTGAAACGGCTGGCTATTGAGGCTGCGGTACATTACAACTGCATACCGTCGTGAACCCTTTCTTCTTTGGCAAACAATTTACTACCACCGGAATGTTTTTGGTTGTTTCTTTTTTGCGATTATTTTTTTTGGCGTTAGATGACTGTGGTGCTCCTATGTCCGACTGTTCACTGAAATGGTATCAGCGGAAGTCGCACATGCTGTTGTAGTGTTCCAGCTGAAACCTCGTGGAGAATTTAGCCGATTCCGACAGTGTACGTCCTGCGGCTGGCTGGCCTGGCTGGCCTGGCAGTGCAGTGGCTAGGCGGTGCCGTCTTGACAGAGGTCAGCGGCAGCGCCACGGAACGGATAACCCCAGGCAGCCGGCTTCGAGTGCAAGGCACATCTCGCGCCG